TCAACACAAACACCTCCAAAACACTACATAGAATACTAAAGACTGATCAACACAAACACCTCCAAAACACAACATAGAAAACTAAAGACTGATCAACACAAACACCTCCAAAACACTACATAGAATACTAAAGACTGATCAACACAAACACCTCCAAAACACTACATAGAAAACTAAAGACTGATCAACACAAACACCTCCAAAACATAACATAGAAAACTAAAGACTGATCAACACAAACACCTCCAAAACACTACATAGAAAACTAAAGACTGATCAACACAAACACCTCCAAAACACTACATAGAATACTAAAGACTGATCAACACAAACACCTCCAAAACACTACATAGAAAACTAAAGACTGATCAACACAAACACCTCCAAAACACTACATAGAAAACTAAAGACTGATCAACACAAACACCTCCAAAACATGGGTGATCTCCGGTGCTCCGAAAGGATTTTCGAAAGTTTAACGGACGCCATTACAATCGTTATGTAATATCAGTGTCAGAGAAGCCACAATCTCCGTCATCCCTTTCTCGTTCATAACATCACCGAATCAACTTATCACAGAGTTTTCACTTGCCATTAACAGCAAGACGGGTGCCACTACTGGAGCGGGAACTGCTAAGAGTTTTTACTTGCCACGAACAACAAGTCGGGTGCCACTACTGGAGCGGGAACTGCTAAGAGTTTTTACTCGCCATGAACAGCAGGACGGGTGCTACTACTGGAGCGGGAACTGCTTACCCTTCTGGTTCACCTGAGTCCATCTCTGGAGTTTTTCTGGGTTCGTGTTGTTTAATCTTTAATTTACTGTGTATTGTTTTGTAAACTGATGTATGTCTATTTGTCATGATTCTTTTGTTCCCTTCATATAAACTTTTTTAAGGTATATGGATAAAAAAGTCAAAGACAAGAGCTTCTGTCCTCGCATATTCTTCCTTTTTAAGTAATAAAGCGAAATATTTAAAATGCAAAAAATAGCTTTCATACCTCTTAAACCTATAGAATAAATTAATTGAAAGATTATGTTTAGTTGAGGCAAACTGATATTATAATACTTAATTAATAAAAGCAGCTAAAAGATAATTATGATAACTTCCTTAGTATTGAAATCCCACTGAATAACTGTAATCGTCGAATTATCGTGCGAAACATTCTTTACAAATGGAATTAGGTATCTTTTATGTTTTCTATTATGAGCCAGATCTTAGTCATGTATGCAAGGAATTTGCTTGTGTCGTATGTGGAACAGGATCTGCTAACCCTCCCGAAACACCTGATATCATCCACGGTTTTTGGTAGGGTTCGTGTTGCTCAGTCTGTAGTTTTCTATTGCGTTTTGTAGACCATTTGTTTGTCTCATGGTTGTTTTTCGTTTTTTGCCATGGTGTTGTCAGTTTGTCTTCGACCTTGAGTTTGAATATCCCTTTGGTAGCTCCCGCCTCTTTTAAGGTTGTAAAACATATCGGCTTCGCTTTGTGTCTTTTCTTTTACATTTTGTCTTAAGGAATGCATTTATTCCGATATTTTTACTGGTCATTAACAACACGACCAGTGCCACTAGTTAAGCATTTTTGTCATTGAATACAATAGTTCTCATTCCACATTCAAACTTTGCGTTTAGGGACAAATACGGATTTTGTTCAAAATTGGCGGAAATTTTTACCAGACTTTTTGATCAATTGCAGTGAACTTGTTTTTCATAGTGGAAAACAATGTTGGTCTGCTAGTCTTCTCATTACATCATCTGTTTGATTGCTATCACCTAAATATACATGTACACGCAATTATATGTATATGAAAATTGTTGAATGTGGTATTTTCACACGATATAAAAACAGAAAATAAAAAGATAACAGGAATGTACTTTGAATCACACGTCATTGTTTGCTTAGGTATAGTAGACGAATTTAAGTTATTCTCTACATATCTAGCCTAATTATTCATAATATTTCATCACTGTAACTTTCAAAATGGCACTAAGGGAGCTACCATTTTAATTTTTTTGGAGGGAAGGGGGGGGGGGGGGGGGGGGCTAGGATGAAAAATTGTGTCCTGCCTTTTTTTTAAGTTGTAATCTCTGTCCTGCCTTTTTTTTAAGTTGTAATCTCTGTCCTGCCTTTTTATTTTTCACTCTATTCGGTCCTGCCTTTTTTTTTATTAGTTTATCCTGACTTTTTACATAAATTGTCATCCTGCCTTTTTTTCGCAAAGTTGCTCATCCTGCCTTTTTTTTTTTTACTCAAAACTCCTGTACTGCCTTTTTTTCAAATTTCATCCTAGTGACACGGTATTGTTTTCTTTGACCATGGTGTTATCAATCTGTCTTCGACTTATGATGTTTATTGCTTCTTTGGTTTTTTCTTAGCCTTTTTAAATTTCATTTCTGTGTGGTTTTTGTATTTTATTTTTTTTCTGCATATGACACTCAGTTTCATAATTAATTTACACATGTGTCTACAAATATAGAGTATGCTTTTTTGGATTATTGTCTGAATGTTTTAAACCTCTCCATGGTTGTCATCGATATCTATATGTATTTGTCTATAATGCTCATATTTTAATGAAGATTTTTTTTAATTCATTAATCAGGTTATAGTGGTGTGATTCAAGTTGGAAGTTTTAATTATAGCTATCTATAAAACCAGGTTTAACCAACAATTTTCTTCAGATAGAGCCTGATCAAAGTCAGGAAAATGTCAGATGTTTTTTCCATTCATTCCGTTGGTTGCCATAGTCTAGATTTTGATCTAAACAGTGTTTATGGACTTCACCCTTTTTAGTTCACCTGGCCAAAAGGGTCAAGTGAGCTTTTCTCATTACTTGGAGTCCGTCGTCGTCCGTTCACTTTTACACAAATCTTCTCCTCTTAAACTACTTGGCAATTATACCAAACTTCTTGGCCGCAATCATCATTGGGGTATCTAGTTTTATCAAAAATGTGTCCGATAACCCCACCTGCTAACCTGCATGGCCGACATGGCTAAAAATATAACACAGGGCTTAAATGCAATTTTTGTTTATTATCTTGAAACTCGCTATAAATAGAAAAAATCTAATAGAGCATAAATATTCAGAATGGTGAGACCTACCTACCGCTTATTAACGTCAAAACTGTCAAACGAATTTTTATATACCATGTTCGTTAGTTGGCGGGGTTATCGGACACATTTTTAAACTAGATATTTTCTTTAGCTTTACAATTTTTATGACATTATAAACAAGCATTCTGAGAGTATTGCATGGCAATACATAGTCCCCTACCGGTTAAAAATTAAGTGTACTGGAACAATATGCTAACTTGATCTATAACTTGTCATGGTGTAAATTATATAACAAATATCAAGTCAATGTCTTCAAGCATGATGACAAAAAGTGTGGAAAACTGATTATTTAAGTGAATTTTCTAAGTCCAAGGACCATAACTCTGCACAAATCATCAGACTGGAACATAATTCGAACTAGGTCTGTAACTTGTCATGATAAAACTATATACCAATTATCAAATCAATATCTTCAAGCATAACGAAAACAAGTGTGGAAAACTGATTATTTGAGTGAATTTTCTAAGTCCAAGGACCATAACTCTGCACAAAATCATCAAACTGGAACAAAATTCGAACTTGATTTGTAACTTGTCATGATAAAACAATATCCCAAATATCAAATCAATATCTTCAAGTACGAAGAAAAAAAAGTGTGGAAAACTGATTTGCCGGACTGATGGATGGACAGACGGACGGAAAGCAAACCTAAAGTCCCCTTCGAATTCGTCGATAGGGGACTAATTAACACATAGATGCGACTACTTAGATTATTTCGAAAACACTACTGGACAAAAAGGGTGGGTAGTTTGTTTCAGCTATGATCTATGATCAAAGATAATAAAATGTAGTAAAATCATATCCTAAGTTAAGAATTTTTGTTAATTCATACTTGAAGAGAGGCGAAACATACCAAAAGGGATACGGATATTCAACTCATAAGTCGAAGACAAACTGACAACGCCATAGAAAAAAACCCGAAAACTCGACTAAAAGGCAAACAAAAGTCTTCAAAACACAACATAGAAAAAGCAAAGATGGAGCAACACGAACCCCACCAAAAACCGGGGGTTGTCTCAGGTGCTCCGAAAAGGTTAGTAGATCAAGCTCCGCATATAAACGGAATACTGTGTATATGATATATCAATGTAATAAGGAGACCACAGTCAGCTAACTTTAAGCCTCGACTTGCGCGTGAAATGGTGTTTCAATGATACTCTCTCCATACATAGATCAGTAATAAAAGATCAGAAGTAAGGAATGCGTAGCCTGTTGTTACAATGTGAAACGACTACACATAACCGATACTTATGCGCAAAAATGCATGTCTCCTTTTTGAATCTTTGTTGTACAGGGTAATAACAGTTGAATATGATTGGTAATTAATTGGTGACTGCTCAACGTCCAGCAGCAAAAAAAGACATGCATATGCAAGTCGATAACATGTCAAATGTGGTATAAAGATACCTTTCTATGTACTAGACTAACACGCTCAGTCAGATTTTTAATGTGCTAACCGCAGTTATATATGAGACCAAACTCGGACATATTATTCTCATACTTAGCCGACAGTTCTTTGCTCGAGCAGCAAAATCTGTAGCGAAGCTGAGAATGTAATTTCAAAGACATTAACAACACTGTCTCTATACCATTGTACTTTGGTTTACGAGAATAAAGATATATACAATTGTTAAACCGGGCCTCCCATACTCTAGCAATCCAGGCGAGACGCTATGGGGGGAAATCGGAACGGAAGCACAATTGTTCATGCTCGATGCCACTACAGCATTGAAGTACTGGTTGCAGGTCTATAGTGACACCACGAAGCTCTCAGTGTGTATGATATAGTACGATATATAATGTATACTATGTTTCTAATGAACATCTGTCCATATCTTATCATGTTTCGTAAAACATAGAAGATAATTAATATAAAACCAGAAATTTCTTTAAATGTTGATTTTTATTTTCAAAAAAATCATAAGATAACATAATAATAAAGATATTCTTCACTTACAAAGACAAGCAATCTAAACAGAACTGTATAATATATTTTAAAGGCAGTACTACTGTGTTTCCTTTAATGTGTCTTGTATTATTTTAAAGTTTGTTATTACTCTAACGGACGTAATATTTGCAATATATAGTATCCCCAAATTTATCGCATTATTAGAAAGGTTATGGTCAATGCATCAAGCTCACAGATGCCGTAACCGAATCATAGTGTGTAATGTTGTGGAGCTTACTCGTATGCATGGACATCCAGAACTTGGTTGTTTTATTTCTTATGCTCTATTCATCTAAGGTCCTTAGGATTTAGACAAACAAAGAAGACTGTAAATAAATCAGGCTCCGAGAAAGTTAGGACTAAATATCTTTACCTACTAATTTCATGATTTTCAATCAAAATTAAGATTTATTAAGGAATATATACCTAATACCACAAACTTCACAAGAGCCTTATATAAATCTAAATATTCAAAGCGAGGCTGAGAACAAGGATTGTATTTTACCTTAAAACGTCTTTCTGTTGAATTAATGAAATAAATAGGTGACGTAAGATTTATTGATCGGTAATTATTTGCTTAATGTTCAATGTAATATGAGATACGATTGTCATATTTGGTTCGCTAGTTCTATGTATAGTTAATGTTTTGTAGATAAATTCGTTATTCCATCTTCGTTTTACATCCCCTTCAAATAAAGAGGGAAAATTCCATATTTCTTTAAAAAAAAAAACTGCGGTGAATTAATATGTTGAGGTCATAGATGATTATTTCATAACGTCAGTTCAAGCAAAGTACCTGAGGAATCCCTGCATCATGATATATAATAGGTAGTGACCGAACCTTGGCAATATTAGTGGCAAAGTCTTCCGTATGTTAGAGTAAGAAGAAGACCCACAGTATGATTGTCGTAAACTTTTATAAGTTCTAAATTAACTGCAACTTTTATAAGTTTCAAATTAAATTTTATTTCGTACTTAATTTCAAAACTTTGATTTCACTTCAGACCATTTAAAAGTTTAATGATATCATTTTAGATCTACAATTGAGGACAATATATGGTAAATTAAAGGATTTAAAAAGTTTTGACATATATCACAAATAAATGTTACACCAGCAGTTTTAACTGTAAACCATTAAACACTTTGGTAAGGGATTATTGCAGGATTTAACATAAACGATGATTGATTAATGTTTGCTTCACGTCCAGTGGCAAATATTTCATGCATATTCAGGACGAAAATATTAATGATACGAATGTCTTAAAGAATTTTATACGTATTGTCAAAGGCTGTTTCAAAAATCTACAACTATGCAAACGGATACTTGCCGGCAATTCGTATAAAACATATTCATAGTATAAAGACATTTTAATGCATGTTAAGTTCCAATAGATAATGGAAATTATTAGATGCATGAAATGTCAACATACGAATTTGTTTTAATATTTTTTTGTATTTCCAAATATAAATTTCACCTGTTGAAAATGGCATATTCACTAACTAACTAAACCTTGTTCGGAAAAAAAAATGTGAACTACTCTTAAATTATGTAAAACATTTTTATGACTAATATGATTAGATTTATTAACTGAAACATTATTTTCCACTTCTTGAATAGAAAATGGTTTCGAAGTATGCAGCCGTTTAAACGACAATTAGATGAACATAATACAGTAATTATTGGTGAAATAAGAATAACATATTTCGTTTACAGTAAAAAATAAGTTAAATTATACAAAATATGAAATATCTTCTTTACAGATACACTACATGAGCTTGCATTGACCAGAAATATACGATAACTGCATACATTACATACTTGCATTGACAAAAAAATATATGGCATGTAAAAAGCTTGTTAGTTTAAACAACACTCAACAAACACATGTATAAGAATAAAAGATCACAATTTGACTGTTCTGCATTGATCAAGTGCACCAAAATTTCGCTCTCACACACAACTCTTAACGTAAATCATTTAAATATAAATACAGCAAGTTATAAAACCCGGGGTAAGAATTGTATTCCCTGAATAACCTACCCGACTACAAGTTACTATGATTGTTAATGGGATTGTTTAAACTCGCGTACAATTTCATTATAGTTTTACCAGTGGAACAAACAGGAGTATCTGTCTTAAACCAAAGACAGTCGGTGACAGATAAATCTAAGTAGACGAATAATGAAATGTTAAGCACAACGGAGATTTTACATTATGATGTGTAAAAAAAGTATTTAACATTTTTTCGTATATATATAGTATATATTGTTTCAGAACATAAGTATTTAATACTTAATTTCTTTCAGCTGATTGTAACGTAAACGACCACGCAAGGAATTCAATTAAATTGGTGATCTAGTCTTAGAACTTACATGTGGTATGTTTGTCCTTAGTAACTAAGTTAGTTATGTACAAACATATGTCTCCGTAGCTACTGTTTTATTAAAAATAATTTGACGGTTTACAAAATGACATTTTAATTTCTACTTGAAATAATTTCGTATCACAGAAAATAACAATGATTGTCAGAAAAATAATGAGCAAATGAACAAACAAAAAATGTGTATCTCCGTGAATTATCATTTGTTTAAATATGGACAAGTCATATTATTGAATGGAAAGTTTACAACTATTGAGTATATACTACGATATCGGTATAGTATACGTTCTACTTCAATATTTCTGAGGAAACGATCAGAACACCTCTGAAGAAGAACGTTAAATGATAGCTAGGTATAGTATAAAAGTTTAGTCAATATATTAAGTGCTAGGTAATAGTAATAGGTTAAATGACTACATCGTGTGAAACTAGCGTTTGAAGGAAACGTAGTTTTTATTTTCTAATTAATAGTTCATTTCTACTTTGAAGACTTGAGATATTTAACATTTGACACAAGCATACGACACATTTTGACATGTAACTAATAGAACATTAAAAAATACCAGTGACTTATAATTCAGCACTTCATTCAAATATTTTATCACATGAGTGGACCAGCCAATCAAAATTCAGCAGGCGAGTGACGATTGAATCCAGCAGACGTCACGGCGTTGTATTTAAAAAAAAAAGAAGAAACTACTATCACAATGATGAAGTTTGGGACTGTTCATCGTTTACATCACTTAATATTGCTTTGTTGATTGTAGACTCGCTTCCGGTGGATTCTAATTCACAACCATCGAAAGTTGGATTGTCATGACTACCATGTGAATGATTTTTTCTTTTGTTTTTATTCATGATTTGATCGTCACTTTCATAGTCGTTACTATTTTCCGAGGACGCTGTGCCCGGAAGCGCATTATGATATGTGTCAATATCACTATTATTTGTTTGCATGTTATAATGATTTGTATGTTTTATGCTACCCCCCGTTTGCACTATTATGCTATGATCTGATTGTTGCATGCTATAATCTGTCACGTGGTATGTTGGTACTCTACTAGACGTTTCACTAGTATTTATCGAAGCGGAGTCTAACTCACTCGGACTACGTGGAGTATCGTAATTGTTATCGTCACCGATGTCCATTGTTTTCCTGGACACCGTATCTAATTCTTTTATATCTTCTAATTGTGTTTTTGTTACAAGTCGTTTGCTTTTCTTTTTCGTCTTTTGTTTGTTTTTCGATCTATGGTGAACACTAGGTATACTTTGAGAAAATTGACTCCCTGAAGATTTTTCGATCGGTTTGAGTGGTCCATCAACTGGACTAACCTTCCTCCTTGTCCCTTGACCATTACTTCTTGCACTTTGGTTTGAACCACTTCTTGCACTTTGATTCGAACCGCTTCTTGCACTTTGGTTAGAGCCAGGCCTCTGTGTAGATGTTATTCTTGCACCCGACAAAGTACTTCCATTCGAAATACTTCTGATATCATCCGGTTTGATAGAAATTGGATGTTTTGAAGGCGCACAAAAGTAATAAGCACTAACGGACACACTCACTATTCCAAAAACTAACCCTACGCATATTAAAACAATTCCTACAATTTTCTTTCCTTCATCGTTTCTAAGTTCTGGCAGCAACAAATCATCGTTTACTATCCCATAATTAAGAATAAGACTAGCACCTGTAGCTATCATTATGATGCCAAATAGAAACAGAAACACCCCGATAGAACATAAGCAACACTGACTGGAACTACTCTGCATTCTAGGCATCTGAAAAAGAGGAGGCAATTTTTAGTAAAATAGTAACAACTATGACACTTTTCTGCAATTTAAGCATAAGACAAGTGGAGATAAAAAGTATGGATCTTATATGCGTTTTAGGCATAGTCAAGAGGCGATAATTTTTAGTAAAATGGTATGGATATTTCATGCGTTTTAGACATGACAAGGGAAGGTAATTATTAGTAAAATTCAGTAGCATCTGATAAAGGGAGGTAATTCTAGGAAATTACCCTACAACTACTTATTTGTAAAGGGTACTTAGTACAATACAACTGCTGCAGAATCTAAGCTCTTGGAAAAGGGAATGATATAAAATTTAGTATTAAAAACTATTTGACTTGAAAGGGAAGATAATACTTCGAGAAAAATCACTGAGTAATAAGTAAGGCAACTTCTCGGTTTTTAGGGGTTTTTTTTAAATTTTGTAATGTACTTTTCCCCATTCTTTTTTTTTTTTTTTTTTTTTTTAATTTGGCTGTCTAATTACAAAGCTGCCTTAAAAAAATAGAAAATCAACTAAAATAAAAAACATATTTGATAGATTGTTGTTTGCTTAACATCCACCACCAAATATATCAAACATATTCAGGAACAAATCAAAATAATAGAGAAAAAAAATAAAATATAATCATTTAAACAGAAAATGCAAACTAATGTGTATTATCATTAGGGCAAACGTCGACTTGTCCAATCACATTAAGATTGTTTATCCGAGTAAAAGATTAAAAACATGATTCTTTTCCAATTGACAAAACAAGATTAAAACTGTAGTGAATTATATATTGATTTAATACCTAGAACAAATGTATCAGTAAGCCAATCTGAATAGTTATTGAAATAGGAAACAAAGCAGTTCTAATTTTAAACCCTGAACTACTGTTTTTGTTGCAATTCAAAAGGAGCTTATATTAAATTCCATGGTTGCATAAATTGACAAATGTATACACATAAGATATGTTATTGATTCTGTATGTCTTAAGATATTCAACAACCCAGGGTATAGTGATTAATACAATATATGTATCACATTCGATACAAGAAACTCTGAGATTACTGCAACTCCATATGTGCATACATATGTTATAAATGATTTGTGGAATTTTTAATTTTAGTTTCATTTATTATTTCACAACAAAATATCTATTTTATTAAAAAAATCTTAAGCGTGTATCTCAATTGCGACCATTTTTTAATCCTTTCCGTTACACTTATTTCTTCTGTATTTATAAAAGCAGAAAATATCAGCGTAAAAAGTACTTTGAGATGGACAAAACAGTGACACAGAGTCCAAAGGAAATTATACTTCTACATGTATACGTGACAGATTGATAGTGCGAAGTTAAGGGAGAGCGAAAAAGCTAGTGAACACCTGCAGAAATATCTTGAGTTTGAAATGCACACCATTAGCCTAAATATATGACAAATATATGCGCATAATCACTAGTCATAAGTTTAGCATGTGCATGCATAAGAGCAAATTCTCACAATGTCAAATTGTCAAAATCATCAAAAAACATGTGGTTCTCCCGAACGGAACGAGTACTAGTGTGCTATATTCCAGGTTGTTTCCCATTTTATTTCACAAATTGATCATAACAAACAGGACATCAAATCCTAATCATATTGACTTGATACTTTACAAAATCATTATTTATCTCGTTTTTTCTATTTACTTAAAGTAACGTACACTTAGTACAGTTACTACGGAGAAAGTGGAAAATCGATATGTCTACAAATGATAAAAGTGCAGGCCAAATCATATATCGTTATCGGTGCTTGTAATCTGAACTCTAATCATCCCTCCCCAAAATAAGGGGTACACATAGGCAATCTTTGTACGTACTGAGCGCAAGTTGACTGAAATACAAATCATTTTTCCACGCTTAGCTTACAGTTAGACTGTATGCTGCAATCTAGATGTCTTGGTTGTTTTTGTCGTTGAGTTGCTGTCTCACTTATTCAAGCGAACTGTCATCACCGCACGAATTTTATACTATATAAATCTTTATTCTAGTAATTAAGGGACAAGGGAACGGGGACATACGCGTTAATATACGCAATATAAAATATAATTACGAATGTAAACTATAGAGGCAACAGTTGTTTATCGATCAACGTTCAAATCTCATCAATCCATTTAGAAGACAAACATTAAGTAAAATAAACTGTTAACATAGAGATATGTCTCACCTTTTTGTTATTTTGATAGTAAATGCATATATTGAAATTAAAATAGCAATACTTTTTCATGTTAGTTTTGCAAAATATTCAAAGTCAATGATTGATTTGATTGATTTTTGGTGTTTAACGCCACTTTTAAGCACCGCTTTTGGGCTATTTTGTGGCGGCCAGTTTTTATTGGTGGAGGAAGCCGGAGTGCCCGGGGAAAACCACCTACCTTCGATAGGAAAACTGACAATCCTAGTCAATTAAGATTAGAGTCGAGTGCACCCGCACGAGCGGGGTTCGAACTCACAACCTCAGTGTTGACTGGCTAGTGATTACAGTAGTAACTACTTAGACCACTCGGCCACCGAGGTCCCTCAAAGTCAATGAACCATAACTGAAGGTACAGGGCCAAACAACCTCCATGAAAATGAGATGTTCCAATGCCGATACAACTGAATACCAGATATCATTGAGCTACCACTACATGATCCCATAAACCGACCTAATCACAAACTAATACATATAAACTAAGCAAAAGTTTCAATGTCATTAGACTATGACTGAGGGGTGGGGCCAAAAAATCTCCTTAGAAATGATAATACAACAGCATACCAAATATCATTGACCTACCACTAGTGGTTCCCCATAAACTGACCTAATCACTTACTAATACATGTAAACTAAGTAAAAGTGTCAAGGTCAATAGACCATGACTGAGGGGGCGGGCCCAAATTATCTCCATGGAAATGAGATGTGCCAATACTAATACAACTGCATACCAAATGTCATTGACCTACCACTAGAGGTTCCCCATTAACTGACCTAATCACAAAATAATACATTGTTGACGACGCCGCCGCCGACGCCGGAAACAGCATACATTTGTCTCGCTTTTTTACTCCACCGAGGCGAGAAAAAAATTGAGGGAATTGCATGAATTCCAAAGAAAAGCAGAGTGGTTACCAAGGAAATTTTAAAACAAATTCTATAAGAATACTATCGTAGTATATGGGGAGGGGCGTGTAGAACATGTATACTCTATGCTCATTTATGTTCCGGTAACATACATTTATCATGCCTGTATATGACTTCTGATTTCTTGGTATTAAATTTGCTTATGAACCATGCAGGCTAGTATTCTAGAATTTCTAGTAAGATATAAATTGATCGTTTGGTGCTTATCGACTAGCTTGTCCATCATTGAGAGAGGAATGAGCTTTAAATGCGCAACGTCTACTGTCTTTTTTTTTAAGTAGCGCTTTATTAACGGTATACGAAAATGTCTTTATTATGCTAGGCTCATGGCATTCGGAAAACAAGAAGACCCTATCTTATAATACTTATTACCTGACAGTCCCTTCCCTCCCCTCCCGAGTTAAATAAGAGGATGGTCTATCTTCTACCTGGGAAAGCTATGAAAGGTCTGTGGGGGGACATGAGATTTTCAACTATACCAATTATCTTTTTATAATTGTCATACTATGTTAGATGTTTCAGATAAACAGAGTCTTATAAATCTATAATATCGTGTTACAATGAGACGTTACAAATTATAAATACTTTACAAGGCATCTTCGTTAAATTAAGTGTATTAAGTATACAGTTTTAAGGGTTTAAGTATCCAGCAACCTCTACTAAACAGATATATTTATTAGTAAATCGTAAGTGTGTCTTCACGTGTCTTTATATTTATCCGTTTTGACTAAAGATTAGTGTGTCAATGTCTTTGATAACATTTGTAAATAGTTTATCTAACACATAGTGGCACACATTTCAGATACTTTTAATCTAAAGGAGAATTCACAGCAATTTTAGAAGCATTATTCAGGGGCAGATCCTGGATTATTGAAATGGGGGCGTAATACAATAAAACAGAAGAAATACTGCTGATCGTAAAAAAGCCAAAAAGGATATATTTTCCGAAAAAAGGGGGCGTAGGCCCACTACGCAACCTTTGAATCCGTCACTGGTATTCTTCTCCTTCATTATACATGTGTGTGTTCCCTTGGTATCTTCCGCGTCTTTTGTCATTAACTTTATATTGCTATTTTTTTTATATCATATAAATAAATAAATTATTATTTTTCTTAGGGGAAAGGCGGTTGCACATCTTACCCGTCTTTCACGGTTTTGCATTTCAAAATATATCGGCTTGAGAATTACTGTACAGACACTGCCGAAATGCGTATCTGACGAATTGCGTATCTGCTGAAGTATCTGTCGAAATGCTTATATCCTGTATATAAATTGGCATCGTTTCTTATGCTATTTATCATAAATCAATACTTTACTGTCGTTAAACTGAATAAGTTTGTGACAAGTACAAACAAATATCAATACTTCTAATTTCAAAACCTGTTATGACAATTTTTCCAATAAAAATTTGCTCAATTATATTTTCCGTAATGAAAATAGTACAATAGTATGACAATAATTTCAAATTGGCAAATTATTCCGCTGAGTAATATAAACACAGAATTTATTATTGAAACCTGAAGAAATAATTTATAATTGAATGCCATTATGAATAGAAGTACATGTGGGGTATGGGTCAATCAGAATTAGCACTGATAATTTATAAGGATAATTTTTACATCGCGATGACCGTGAGGTCATTCCGATGTATTGCTATCGCCAAGATTTCCATTACGTAACTTTCGTTTTGGGTTTGTAACCGATCTATAAACATGATAAATACGCGGATATTAACGAGTGCAAACTAACATTCTTTATCGTTTGTTATAAATACATCTCTTCAATGAATACTGATAAAAATATTTTTGTTTAGAACATAAAGTAATAATATGAAAATGTTTTGT